TAAAAACTAAATAAGTGAAATAAAAACAAATCATATATTATATATAGAAGTATCATTTTATTTTATAATAAATTATTTTATTTTATTTTGTTTATATATACTATGTTACTTCATTAATAAAAAAACGTATATTTATATTTATATTTATTTTTTTATTTTATTTAAATGAAATTATCATTAATTTTTATATTAAATAGTAATATATTCATTTATTATTTTCAAACTTCACATTTAATTTAATTTTTTATTATTTTATTTCAATTAAATTTTATTATAATGATTTAGTTTGTGATTATATTATATTTTATTTTTGTTTGATTAAGTTTTCCTCTTGTTCCTGTTGCTTTAAATAAATGTGTGTTAATTTTGTACAATATAATGATGGTGGCATAGTGGTTTAAAGTCTTGGCTAGTGATGTTTTGACCCAAGTTCGAATCCTATGAGGAGCAGCCAAGCATCAATTTTTGCCGGGTAAAATATACAAGACCCCCTTGTATTATACGAAATCTGCGCGTTTCCCCCCTATATTTTTAAAATTGTGTCAGACCCCCTTCTATTAAGGTTTTGTATGCGCGAAACACCCACTATGAGGAGCAGCCAAGCATCAATTTTTGCAGCCAAGCATCAATTTTTGCCGGGTAAAATATACAAGACCCCCTTGTATTATACGAAATTTGCGCGTTTTCCCCCTATATTTTTAAAATTGTGTCAGACCCTCTTCTATTAAGGTTTTGTATGCGCGAAACACCCAAAATCGTCTGACGCAATTTTAAAAATACAGGGGGGAAACGCGCAGATTTCGTATAATACAAGGGGGTTTGGTGCATTAAACCCAATTTTTGCCCAACAAGCAAGGGGCAAAATTGTAAACTTCAATTTTAAAATAAAAAATATGTGAAAAAATTGAATAATTGCCGCATTACATGAATGTGTGCTGTATGCGCTGTGAAGTTGGACGGAGAGGGGGGGATTTGTGCAAAAGTTAGTTAATACGAGGGGGTTTGACGCAATTTTTGAAATACCAGGGGAAAACGCGCACATTTCATATAATACAGGGGAATTTGGTGCAATAAACCCGTTGTCTAAATTGTGTTGGTGTTAGTTGACATCAGGTTTTCTATTATGTAGTTAAGTCTCAATTTTGAATTTAGTATTATGCTATCATTCACTAAACAAAAAGTAAGTTGTAAATGGATCAAGTCGCTCGCAAGCTCGGCCAAGCTTGTGTTTACAATTTTTAAGCTCGTTTGTTTGACGAGTCATTCGGACATATATGTATTTATTTAAACATCTCCAAATAAAGTTAAATTCAATTCGAAATCAAGCACAATTTTACTTAAATTTGAGTCAATCTTCAGCTTGTGAAATTTTTGTCATTCACAAGCATTGTATAATATTGTCTGAGTCGAGTTGATCATTAACGACTTTGGCTCATCGAGTTTGAGCTCGAGTATTCGAGCTCGATTCGACAAGGGCATTGCTTGATTCGGCTCGATTGATTAGCAGTTGTATAAGTAAAGTTTGTATTAGTTAGACCTAATGGCTAGACAATAATATTTTTCTATATATATATATATAGGGGGCATATCAAATGGGGCCAGCTCTTAAAATGTACACAGCTCTTAAAATGCGGACAACTCTTAGCAACTACAGACAACTAACCTAACAACTATAAAGAACTAACCTAGCAACTGTTAGTGTTATATACTGAAAGCTTGGCTTTGCATGTTATTACACATTTACCCTTTATGAATGAGAATCATGTTAGATTAAACAAGATCTACGTTCTGTTGTTCTGCACTTAGATAGGGTGGGTCGTCATCGGGCGAACCGAAGATCACTCTATCAGTCACTTGCGAGCAAGAATAGTTGTTCACAACCTAGATGGACATGAACACCCCATCCGAACGGTTGTAGTGTCAACTGTACAGTTTGTCTTGACTGATTAGTTGCACTAGTACATTTATGTATTGAACAGGATCCCAGAGAGGAGAAGTTCATTTTATACTGATCGTCGTAAATGAACTAGGCCTCGGTTAATTACTGCGTTCTCTTAACCCGTAAGATATTAAACAGGCAGATATATATAATATATATTACTTTGATTCACATGGGTGAGGTTCAGTTCGCTGGATTAATATTCCTACTGTTTTGGGTAATATTATTATATATAGGATGTGCTGTTAGGATATTTACGGTCACCATGTGCGTTAGTTTGATGATGTCCCCGGAGTGAGTTCATGAAGGATTGTTATGCTAAACCCTGCAGGTGGATTAAATTCCGGCATAATAAGAATGTGATGAACGAGCGCTAGCTTCGGTGAAATAATAATAAATTAATTAATTCTTGATTGTCAGTAATCGAATTAATTAATGGACATTATATCTTAAACGTGGGGAGGTAAATCGAGTAATTATTATTGGAGTCTCAAATGTAATTTGGGCTAGGGAAAGGGAGTGCAATAATATAATGTTGGTGGCCCATTAATATTATTTAATTAATTAGAGGAGTGGGTTTGGCCCACAGTTAGTCTAATTAATTAAGGAGCCCTTTTCCTAATCTCCTTAGGGTCCCTACTGTAGCTCTATATATACATCATTAAGCTCATGAGAAGAGAATAGAAGTCTCATTCTCACGTGAAACCATCTCTCTCTCTAGATCTCATTCGAGCTTTATCTTCTTCTTGTTGCTCCACTGGTACAAGTTGAAGAAGGGTGTATTGAGTAATACAGTAGAAGATCTGTAGGTAAACCGAGACGAAATTGATTTTGACCTACAGAACTAACCGGAAGTCCGATTGAGACGTACAGTATACCCAGACGACCGTCTCGACGAGAGCTTTCCATCGCCGCCGACGTCGCCGGAATCCGACGCCGCACGCGCCCTCACGCGCCGCCGGAAGGTGTCTGGCAGCAAAATTTCGTTTTGATCTGTTTGCATCCGTTTGATCCAG